TTCCTTCCCTTTTCCTTGTGCAAATTTCCAATTGTTGTCTTGCTCATTTTCCTTTGAATATTTTATAGAATTCTGTCGTTACTTCCTTAGTTTCCATTATTTTATATCTTGTTAATTTCCTTTTCCTTGTGTAAATTTCGTCTTCTTTCCTCATTTCTCTTCTTTTTTATATTTTTATGAAATTTTCCATTCTTTTCTTTTACTAATCTTGAAAAAAAAAATGGAAATTAGTTCTCCAATATCCAATAAGACTAGAAGTCATATATTCAAAATTTTATATTTTCCTTTCTTAAAATTTCCCTCCCTCTTGCGTTGAATTCTATCATAGTTAAAGTGTCGTGGGCCCAGGCACCCATCTTCCGACCGTCAGATTTTTCTCATTACAAATTCAAATATGAAAACCCATTGGTGGGGGGTTGCCTAAATTCAATGAACAATGCAATTTATTTGCATAATCAACAGTTGAGTATGTTGAAAATTTACTTAACGTGCAGCGCAAAATTTAAACAATATTTCAATCCATACCAAAGATCCACTTTGTGTTCAAAAAGAAATTATGATAAGAATTATACCTTTAGTTAATTCTGCGAATGATAATTCTGATGTGCAATCCACGAATTGTTCAATTGTCTACCCTCCAATGAAAATTCACACAGAAAACAAAAATAGGAGAATTAGGGTTTTCATTTTCTTGTAATAGCAAGATAATGAATCACGTGGTTTTAATTTCTCAAACCCTAACAGCTTATTAATAGAAGTTTAAATGGGTTTGGCTCGTCCATTCTCCACTCTTGTTTGTTCTTTTACGTGCATGTGTACGTCCGTCTATATCTTTCTTTTCCCGAAAATAAGCTGATAGAGATGCATATCTAAATTCCTTACTCTTTAAGTTGATTTAATAAAATACAGATGACGTGTTTGATAAGACAAATCGAGCAACATATATGGAGGAAGGTAGAAAGACGTGAACTGATGTCTAAGCATCATTCAATTTTATCTTGTAGTATATGTCGAATACGTGAAAACGGTTCTTTTTTATAACGACAAAATTGAAATTTCACGTGATATATAAGACATGAAATAATTAGTTTATAATTGGTGTCCTGTCCAGATGTGAGAGATAGGGACAGTGGCACTTCATTATCACATTGGATTTGCAACTGAATTCTCAAGTGCGGCTCTTAATATTATGGCCTTTATTCCAGCTAGTGTTATTAAAATCGGCTCGGTCTGGACGGTCGGCCCGATAAACCGATGATCCGGATCCTATTCTGAGTCGGACAAGTTCATACTATGTAAATACAAGTAGTCCGGTCAAAAATCTGATTTGATCGGCTCATTAGCCGGTTTGATTTTTTAACCAAAATTCAAAATTTTTCTCTATTGAAATTTTAGGGGACTAAAAATTTGAACACTTGACCTCCAGTTAACTAGAATATAACTTTACCACCAAAACAAGCAATACTTTGTTATCCTTTGTGTAATAAATCATATATAACCCATGAACAATTTGTTGTCTTCTGAAAATATTTTTAATAAAATTAGTCCAATATTTTCATTTATTTTGTAATATCAAATAATTTTTTTACATACTTATTTTGTTTGAAAATTTTAATTTTGACTAAAATAAATTGAATAGATAATACACGTAAAGTATTGGTCAATAACTAATAAATGATTTGTACATCACAGAAAGAGAAAATATAATATACAAAATTGTAAAATCAAAATGTAACCATTATCACTAATAAATGAGTTCAAAAAATCATTAATTTAAACGTATAAAAATAATTAGTAACAAATAACTTGGAAATTTTAATTGTCTCAAGCACCAAAAAAAAAAAAAATTTACTTTTAAAATTTTTTAAGATAATTTTTAAGTAATGACTTACTCGTCCGATCAGTAACCCGATGACCCAGTACCTTGACCGAGTCAATGTTCTTGTCGAATTTAATAACTATGATTCGGGACTGGTTCAGAGCGGGATAGAGTCGGGGCGGGGCAGGTCCCCTGCCCATTTATCGCCCCATTTATTTTTTTATGTCTTTATTTAGTAAATATTATTATTTTTTCACTAATTTGTTAGAAACAACTTATATTCTCTTTAAAAATATGATAAATCTATTATTTTTGTTTGATAAAAAACTTAAATTTAAAATTAATTTTAAACGGGATGGGTAGCAGGACGGGGATTATGATTCTCATACTCGCTTCGGGGCAATAACAATTGCTCCGTCCCCACCTTGTTTACCCGATTAGGCAGGTGATCCTCGCCCCGTTTGGGACGGGAGACCACGAATTTCTGGTTGAACGGGTTTTTTGTCATCCTTAAATCCAATATACAAACAAGTAATAAAGTGATATTTCGAAAGTCGAGGCCAGCTTAGGAAATGGAAAGGTGATTGTTGGGTTTATATGCTCTCATTAAACTCTCCAAGTCCAATTAACTTTTAAGGATTCCACTTTCCTGTCAATAATTACTCATTCATTAAGCAGTCGTAAGGGGAGCAGTACTTTATAGTCAAAGTTACAGTTTAATCTCTTTTTCCTTATTTTAAGGTAATACGAAGTCAATCTTCCAAACCCATTATGTCTTAACAGAATAATAAGTCGAGAACATTTTGCCTTCCCCAATAAAGTCTCGTTTGACAAGACTTTTAAAAAGTCAAAAATTACTTTTGAAATTAAGTCACTTCTTGAAACACGTTTGAATAATTTTTATAAGTGTTTTATCTGTCTAGAAATTCCTTTAGAGCAAACTGATCCAAAGTAACTTTCTTATAAAATTCTTCCGTAAGAAGCAAAAGTAAAAACAGAAGTCCCGTCGGACTGACCCTAATTCATGAACCTAATTTTTTTCAAGTAGGTCCTTGTAAAGCCAACTAATTTTGACATTTGTTAGGCGTGAAAATGAAATTAAGCAAAAAGATTTACATTGACTGTAGAGACATTAAAATAAAGATTAACGAACACGTTACTCGTACGACTTAAACTCAAGATCTTATTATTAAAGATACGTAAAGAACTTCACAATTTATGTTATTAAAGTTTCAATGTTTACGATTGTAATATACCTTTTCATGTTAGCTATAAAATGAATCGTTCTTTCTATTCTCACGATCCAATTTGATAAAATAAAAGCTAACACGTTAATCCCTCGTCTTTGAATCGATGTAAAGTGATTAACGTAATAGAATTTAAATTACGAATACTCTTAAAACAATTCATCGATCTTGTGTATGCCAATACTTAACTAATTAAAAAATTAATGGAAATTCAATCCCAAAGAACTCCCCAAATGTTGTCATCGTGCAATGGTACAGTTTCATTTTATCAAGTTATTCGTTACTTGATGGTATTATCTTATCTATTAGGATTTGTTACAAGGGATTAGAAGATTCTTTAGTACATAATATGTAATTAAAGTTAGCAGATAATGATGAATTAAGATAATCAATTTGGAATTATCATAAATCTCTCAAGTATGGATTCCTACCTAACAGGTAATTTTCTGGTGTTCTTTTTTAATTAATTTCAAGAATGATGGTCGATGGTATAAACGTAATCTCGATCGTCGTCGTAGAATTTTTGTACTGGTTTAATTTTGAATAATAGAACCCGCTCATGGCTACATGAAGTACTTGATGTTGAGATGCATTTATTAAAAAAATAAGTTATTCTTCGTTGAACAATGAATTTGTGGACTAGTGGCGCTACATAGGGTATTCTTTACTAAATGGTACACAGATATTAAGAAGTTTTTGAAATGTGTGGTTGAAAAGTTGTTGAACCCATGAAAAATGTGGTTAATATTGATTGTTTGCTTTTGACTTAAATTAAAATCTGATTTTAATTCGAAACAAACAGGGCCTTAATGTCAATAAATTCGAAATTTCAACGTTTTCCTACCGTCTTAATATATTCACATATATTTTATGTTAATTTATAAGTTTGTACATTAATGGATAAATAGTTAAAGAATATTAACCTAAGTTTGCAGAAAATGCGTTTAATTATAAGTAGAAAATAATATAGAGCTATGCTACATTGACATGCTCGATGACATGAGACACGTGTCCATACATGATTTGACAATTTGAAAAAAATATATATATATGCACACGCAAATCCAATTAGTTGTTGCCACCCCACCCTCCCCCGTCCCTTCAGCTGCCCCGGCTCAAGGAGCGTTATTCAATAAAATAAAACGGGGAGGCCTTCTGTGAATGGCACGTGCATGGGCGTAGTCAAACCAGTCAAACTTCTTGGTTAATACTTTTACTTTGTTCATAGTTGACTGTTAACAAATTTTTTTATTGCACGTAATACGCTTTAAAACTTTTTTTTAAAAAAATTAAGAATAATAAAGTATTATATCGAAACAGTATTTTTTTTAATTAATTAATGTTTTAGCGTAGAAATAAGAATATAATTTAGTGTTTTACATTTTATTGATTCACAATTTTTATCAGCTTTTCAATCACACGTTTCATCAATTTTTCAAAATTTATTAAAATTTTTATTTTATCACATAAGGCCCTCTTTATAAAATTGTACGTTTTAACGACTCTAGATCTTTAATTTAATTAGAAGGGTGGCCACGAGAATATGAAGACGAAGTTAACGCATTTGAATTAGATTTTACGAGTATGGTTTTTCCTAAAAATTAGTTTTTTATCGAAAGTTGATAATTTTAATTGATCAAATTTCAATTTCAAACAGAAATTCTATGAAATTGACAATTTTTATTAACTTTTCAATTACATGTTACATTAATTTTATCAAAATTTGTTAAAAAATAATTATCTAAAGTTTTGCCAAACGGATTCCTAGAATGATGTCCCCACAAATCCATCTTATTCCCAGTCCGATGGTGATATCACCGTCCGCCCATTTCCTTGTTTCTCACTCAAACGTATACTATAAATCCACCCTCTATGTTCACACACAATATTGTACGCATCAGAACCACCACATATTCCGATAACCACCACCTAACATGAAGCTTGCCACCGGTCTTGTGAGGCCATGCACCACGTTGCAAGGCTCAAGCCATTGTTCCACCACATCTCACTGGCAAAAGTTCAGTGCCAATTTGAGAATTTCAAACTCGTGGAATCCAAAGGGAAGTCATAGTTCTGGGCACTCTCTAGCTTACAAAGCTTGGAAACTCCGGGATAAATGGACGGAGTTTCAAGGAATTAAGAACTGGGAAGGACTACTCGATCCTCTCGATGATAATCTACGCAATGAGATTCTTCGATACGGGGAATTTGTCGAAGCAGCCTATCGTTGTTTCGACTTTGACGCATCCTCTCCAGGTTATGCAACTTGCCTGTATCCCAAAAACTCCATGCTAGGTCAATGCGGGTTTTGCAGTACTGGATACAAAGTTACCAAAAGTCTTCAGGCCACATGTGGAGTACAACTTCCACAATACTGTACTGAGAGATTACCGAATTGGATGTCCACTCGATCGAGCTGGATAGGCTACGTTGCAGTATGTAATGACAAGAACGAATTAGCTCGGCTGGGCCGCCGAGACGTGGTGGTGGCATATCGTGGCACCGCCACATCCATGGAGTGGCTAGAAAATCTCCGGGCAACATTATCTTGCCTCCCTTGTGATATGGCTCCTGATAACAGTGAATCGATGGTACAAAGTGGATTCTTGAGCTTGTACACATCGAGTATCGGTTCACGTCCAAGTTTAAAAGAAATAATCAGAGATGAAATCAGCAAAATCCTACAAAAATATGCTGATGAGCCTTTGAGTATAACTGTTACTGGCCACAGTCTTGGAGCAGCTTTAGCTACATTAACTGCTCATGACATTACTACAACTTTTAAGCATGCACCTTTAGTGACTGTTGTTTCATTTGGAGGCCCTCGAGTTGGTAACAGAAATTTTCGACGCCAACTAGAAAAAAATGGTACAAAAGTCCTAAGAATTGTGAATTCTGATGATCCCATAACCAAAGTTCCAGGATTCGTTTTCGAGGACAATAAGGAAATGCCTAAAAATGGAGATGTACAAATGGCAGGTAAGTTCTCTAACTGGCTGCAAAAGAGGATGGAAGACACCCAATGGGTGTATGCTGAGATAGGCAATGAGCTGAGGCTCAGTAGCAAAGGTTGCCCTCAAATCAACAATCGAAACATCGCCACTTGTCACGATCTCAAGACATATCTCCACTTGGTTGACAATTTTGTGAGTTCAAATTGTCCTCTAAGAGCCACAGCCAAGAGTGTTCTATCCAATTTGCATGTAAGACACCCAATGGGTGTTGATATCTAATTGTACATAGAGGGTTAGCTAAAAAAAACACATTCATGCTATGGAAGGAGTTCAAGGGAAGGTGACGAAGGCCTTTTTGTAGAAATCCTCTCTTAATCTTTGTAGATATTCCTTTTGTAAAGAATGATAATTTATCTTTTCCAAATATGCTCACTTTTTAGTGAATTTGTTTATTCACTTTCTTCAAATATGAAAAGCTTTGCATATTGATAACTTGAGAATATTAACTAAAATGGAAAACGCCCTAACTTTATGTGTTCTTCGATGGTGAAATATTGTAGATACATGAGATTAAAATTCTTGTGTTATAGAGCTATAAATTTTTCAAGCTAATGTTTTTTAATTGTCACATAAACAAGTTATATTCACGTTGATATTACGTAACTTTTATGGTTAAATAGTAAATACTCATATAAGCACTAAGAATCTAAGATTGAATTCAAATTCAAATATTCAATTATTCCATCTAAACGTTTAAACTGTCACGTGTATTTATTTCAATTCGTCTTCAACGTGTGCTCCTTCATGTACACACCAAATTCAATTTTTAAGTTTTGATACACGCATCATTATTAGGGGGTGTTTGTTTGAGATTTTTGGGGGAAGAATTGATTTTTGAATAGTGATATGATGAGAAATATGTGGTTGAAAAATAAGAAGAATTTATTAATGTGATGGAAAATATTATTTTATTGAAGAATGTGTAGTTAAAAATGAGAATTGATTTACTGTAGAATTTGAGAATCTCAAACAAACAAGCTCTTAATAAATAAGTGACCGAAAATGTTCTCCTGCCCGCGGCGAGCAAGCTTATCCTGCCCACCTGCTGATGTGGCAGGAGAACCCTACGTGGGGTTCTTTTCAAATGTGAGAACCCCACGTTGGGTTCTCTCCGAGTGGGCATTATAAACTTGCCCGCCGCGGGCAGGAGAACGGGAGCAGATAACGAAATAGATTATTCCAAAATCAGCATAATTATTAAGCCATGCTTCATGCCAAAAGTGAGAAATAATCCAATTTAGTGCAAGCCATGAATCTTCATAAGCAATTGGGAGTGGGCATTCGCCATTAATGGTGCTCTTTTGGTACACGATTTTATTCTTTTGTGGCTTGAAGCCATTTCTGTGTCTATATATAATTCTTGAATTTGGAAATTTTGAAGTCTTGGGGTACGATTTTGATGGCTTCAATTGTGAAAAGTTTCTGGGCATCACCCCATTTTGCTTTGAATGTGAACAAGAAATGTCATTCTAGATCTGGATTTCAATGTTCAACTAGTGG